AGGAGATGCCCATTCCAAAGCGCTCTCAGTTCTAAATTTAAAATTCAGTGGAATACTTCTATAAAATGGCTCCATGGTGTTTTCCCTGCAATACTTAGTTAGAATTTGCTTTGCATGGTTGACTATAATACGAACATTACAGTCCCTACCCCTGAGGTTACTTAAATCCACTTATTAGGCAATGGTGAGCTAAACAAACAGTAATTAGAAACACTCCAGACTACCTTTTAAATCTGTTGCTAAATTATATTTTTCCTGCACCAAAGCCCATACACACAGCATGTCCACAAGCATCACAAAGTCAAAGCCTCAGAAATATTTACATTAATAAGGGCATAAGCAGTAAGGGCTGCTTTAGAAGAGGACCATTCATTACTGTTATTTCTCACATCTGGGTAAATAAAGCGCTGCCCACATGTGGTTTGAAATCCCAGGTGAAAATGAACTCTCCAGGGGTCTGGAAATGAAGAACCCCTCTGACAGACTGTCTCATTTCCTGAAATGAGTCAGAAATGAAAGTAATTCTTCAGAAAAGAACATCTGCACCCCTGGCACGGCTTATAAAATAATGCCAGATGATACCTGTGGCTAAGAGGCTGGGCCCAGAAACAGGACCAGGGCCCGCGCGCCACACTTAATCTCGGAGCTGCTGCTGTTAGCTTGGAGCATCTGCAAATTGGAGAGCAGCCAGGCGTCCTGGTCTCTGCGGTAAATCTTGATTAGCAGAGAGACTGCTCACATTCCATTAGACAGCCGGCCCCGGCCAACGGGGTGGAAGCAGCCAGGAAGGAATCGTGTGCTGCTTGAGCACGCAACAGCAATTCTCACATGAAAAACTGTTTTCCTCAACTAAAAATAGACTCTTAATAATTCAGACAGACTTTTCTTCCTGAGGACTACGGTGTAGATGACCTAATGCCTCCAAGGAAAGCCTCCCCCTTCACAGTGGGCAGGAAGATACCGTCCCGTGTCCGGTACTGAAGGTAAGGAAGACTAAACACCTTACACAACACTTCAAAGACCAGTAAGAACAGGAAGGGGAAAAGCCAAGACTGTCTTCACCAACATCGGAGGCCAGTGATTCTTATTAGATGGCTCATCACTGTTCTTTTCATCTTGGGTTTTTAAGAGGACTTGCAGAGTGAGGGTGTAACTGGGAGAAGGGAGGTGACCTTGAAACCACCTAAAACGTCCATTAAGAGGTGACTAGTTAAGATGAAATCTAGTACATCCACAATGGAATACCATGTAGCCACTTACAAGGCCAATCTGTGTGCCAATGAAGAGATCTGAGCTCCCTGTGTTAAGGCATGAAAAATGCACTGGTCTCTGTAGGAAACAATCATGTAAATGTTTTTAAAGAAGTTGCCTAGTGTAGGAAGGGGTTAAGAGAGTGTTAGACTTTTCTTTTATACCCTTTAATGCAGTTTTGAGTTCTCTTCCCATGTGCCTGCCCCCTTCCCTTTTAATAATAGGCATTAATTAGCTAGATGGAAGTTCTATTTTGGGTTTCTTCTTTATGCTAGCCTCTCCAAATATAATTTAACACAAATCAGTGCTATTTTAAATAGATGTTACAGAATTGTGACTCCCCCAAATCTGTCTGTTGAAGCCCCGGCTCCCAAGTACCCCAGAATGTGAGCGTATGTAGAGAGAGTGCCTATAAAGAGGTGATAATGTTAAAATGAGACCCTCATCCAATCAGTCTAGTGACCTTGTAAGAGGAAATGTGGGCACAGAAAGAGACACCAGGGTGGGACACACAGGAAACACCAGGTGAGGACACAGAGAAGGCGGCCTTCCGCGAGCACGGCCTCATGGAGCATGTGAAGAGTCGGGCTCATGGTGCTTCTGACCAGCTCAGGTCCACCCTGCCAAGTGGCTTGAGCCAACACTAAAACAGGTTTCCCTCCTCCTTAGTCAGGACTCTTTCTGCTCACAGCATTTACCTTGATGGTGTTTGTAACCAATCCCATAACTCATGGAACTAGAGTATTGTTTCCAACTTTTTTTTTTTTTTTTGGCCAGGGCTCGGTTTAAACCCGCCACCTCCAGTATATGGGGCCGGTGCCCTACTCCGTGAGCCATTGGCGCCACCCCTGTTTCCAACTTTTTTTTTTTGAGACAGAGTGTCACTTTGTCGCCCTAGGTAGAGTGCCCTGGCATCATAGCTCACAGCAAACTCAAACTCTTTGGCTCAAACGATTCTCTTGCCTCAGCCTCCCAAAAAGCTGGAACTACAGGCACCCAGCACAACACCCGGCTACTGTTAGAGATGAGGTCTCGCTTTGGCTCAGGCAGTCCACCTGCCTTGGCCTCCCAGAGTGTATTTCCAACCTTTTTTTCATTTCATGGCACACTTGAACCTATAAACCTATGCATCACACTTAAATTATGTTGATAAAAAAAAAATACACTTACCGTGCTTTGAGCAGCTTTTGAAAATAATTTAATTAATAATCTTTAAAAATTTTCCAGACATACCTAAGAAAAATCCTTTCATGGCTCACTGAAAATCACTGAACTACAGTCTACGATATTTATTAGTGACTTTTTACTTGGCTTATATTCAAAAGGCTTTCTTCCTGTGCTGATACCTAATGAAAAGGAAGTTATCACAGTAATATTATTAATCTAATTTAAATAAAAAGACTCAGCAACAAGGTTAAAAAAAATCCAGAAAAACAAATGATGTGCCATATTTATGTGCCAACCTAATTCTTTATATTTGAGTACATGTGGTCTCAGATCACAATGCAATACATTAGAAGAAGCATGATAATTGAAGGATAAAATTTATAAATTTTTTTAGACTTTTGCAAATTAATCAATCTCTTTAAAAATTGGAGTTATAGGGTGGCGCCTGTAGCTCAAAGGAGTAGGGTGCTGGCCCCATATACCAGAGGTGGCAGGTTCAAACCCAGCTCTGGCCAAAAATTACAAAAAAAATAATTGGAGTTTTATATATAAGAGATATAAAACCATAGACTTTGCCTATAGACTCTTTCACCTATAAGCTTATAGCTTATAAAGACTTTTAAGTGGGTTAAGATCCAGACATAGAAAAAGATAAAAAAGTTAAAGATAAATATTTGGTACAGGCATTCAGAGGAAGACAGAACCACTCTTGCTTTGAATGAGGGAAAGTCTCCCCAAGGGTATGGGGTCCAAACCAATCTGGGAGTAGATACATAAAGCTTAAGGGGAAGTGGTTTATGTCCAGGTCTGTCTTACCACTAAGTATATAGTTTTTGAAGGCAAGAAATGTGTCCTTAAGATCCTAACAGAGTACCTGGCAAATAACAGCCATTTACTCATCCCAGGGCAGGAAAAAGCATACAGTATGTTCACATTAGGGTAAGTCTGTACTGCAGGGTCCTTGGAAGAAAGTTGTGCGACGTAAAATTAAAGAAGTTGGGGCCAAACTGATGATATGCTGAAGCAATGGCTTCACCACTTTGTAAAGCCTTTAAAGGTGTTTCTGAAAGAGAAAAGAACATGATGGGACCAGAGGTAATCAGGAAATGACAAGAATTGGGGCATCAAAAGATCAACTGGGTGATGAACTGGGGAAATTCTCAGCGTCCTAATCTGTAAAATGGGCATCATACAACGTGTCTTCATAGGACTACTGCTATTAAATGGGATTATAATGGTAAAGTATGTATCACAGGGCCTGATGGTAAGCACTTAGGAAAACAGAATCGCTAATATAATCAATTATTATTTCACACCAAAAAATAGAAGAAAATGGGCAAGATGGGGGCTGAGGTGCATGAGTATATGACCCGCCTCTGGGCCTCCAGATGTCCTCTAAATAGATCATTGTAGTGGCCTCTGTCATTTTTGGAAATGAAATGTGATATATTTACTCTTTAGTTCTCCAGAACTTAATACACCAGTTAGTAGCACCCAACACAGGAATAGATGTCCAAAATTACCTTCACAATCAAGACCATTTTTAAGTTGCTTTTATGTGAAAATAACTCTATAGGTTAATGCCAATCAGTTTTGAAACACTAAATCAATAGACTCAGCTATAAATCCAGGAAAACCATTTTCATAATGAAAATGGCAATGCCTTCTTAACAAAGGACGGACACACCAACATAAAAGACTTAAAAGAGGAACTTGCTCTTTCGCTCATAAATAAAAGGGCCTGATAACTCTACAAATTGTTTTTGAGATTTTGATAACCAGAAATTGTTGAGGATCTGAGCTGGGGATTTTTCCAACTGCACAATAATCATTTG